GTTTTGATATATAAGTTGTTCGGATTTTTTTTATCTAAAAAAATGCGACATTAATTTCTTGACGACCTAATACTTGTCTTACAGACAAATTATAACAGTAAAACTTGTTGTCCTGGGTGTTGGATTTTATATAATAAAACAGCATATATGGTAAATTAAATTTGCTGTTGGAAAAAAAAAAGAAATGAAAATTGGTTTGACAAAAAACAAATTATGACAACAGTAAATACCCTTTTTTATTTTTAGGTGATACTGTATTGATAAGCTAGATTCTGTACTATAATAACTAGTCTAGGTTACAGTTGTTAGATACAAAGAAATATGTTAGTCTTAACACGTTTGCTGTTGTGCCCCACTGGTGGGTCATAAACAACTTTTAGTTATGGACCACATGACACACCAGTGGGTCACATATTACAAGTGGCTTCAATGAGCTAATTAAATATAGTTACTCATATAAATATTAGTCATCTGGGTTAAGTTCAAAAAGAAAAGTTTGGTTGGCACTGAAGTAAGAATTATTAATATTATTGGTAGCAGTGAATTTGTTAAGAAACATATGAACAATAAAATATTAGGTATGTAATGTAAGAAATCTAGCCTGTAATGAAAAACAGAAAGACACATTTGGGTAAAATTTTTTCTTTCATACCCTAATAATTCATATACACTGAAAGTTAATAACCTGAGGTAAAATGTGAAGATGTTTCTTTGGAGTTATCTGTATGTTTCTGGAAAAATAATAAATTTGAAAGTTGTAAAACTAGTAGTTAGCATAATGAAATTATTCAGAAATGTTAGTAAACTGAAGCAAAGGCTTTCAGGAAATACAGTTTGCACGTACTAAGCAATGGTTAGCATTGAGTAGTTTGTTAAGCTGTTTTGTACATGTTGGTTGTACTTTTAGATGTATCAATGAAGTCATGTTTTTATACAAATGTCAGAAAAGTATTTTTACCAGTAATGTTATTACAAAGTGCACTCTAGTGACTAGTAACAGGTGATTGGAGTGGTAAGCTGTTGTTGTTTAGCAGGAAAAGGCTGAATGAATGGTATAACTTAGACTGTACAGAAATCAGAAGAAATCTTTGTATTTCCACAGGGAAATGAAGCTGCTAATGTAACTGGACCTGATGGTGCACCTGTAGAAGGAAGCAAGTATGCTCCTGATAAAAGACGGTTTTATGGTCGATTTCCCAATCGTCGTGGTTTTGGGAGGAGACCACCACCAATGGTAAATATGTCCCAGACTTTGTTTTAGGTAGCTTAGAACATGTGATTAATGTTGTATTTGATTACTACTAAATACAGCTACTAATGTATATATGGTTGTGTACATAAAGTGAGGTAGTTAGTGAGGTATTACTTCAAAAAATTTGAAAATGTTGTGCTGATTCTTCTCAGCCATATGGACTTGCCTTACAAGAATCAATGTAGTTTATTCTTCTCAGCTATATGGACTTGCCTTACAAGATTCGGTGTAGTTTATTCTTCTTAGCTATATGGACTTGCCTTACAAGATTCGGTGTAGTTTATTCTTCTTAGCTATATGGACTTGCCTTACAAGATTCGGTGTAGTTTATTCTT